ACTTGATAAGTAATATCCGCTAATGGAATTACCATTTTACACTTAATATTAGAAAGAAAACCCATCTCCGTTATCTTATATCAAGTATATAAATATAAAATATCTTATTTTAGGGGCCAAAATACTCAATAAAGGACAAATAAACTAATTTCAAGAACATTTTCCTTATGTATTGATCAGTTTTTGCTATGATGTAACCACCGGCCTTTTGCTATATATAATCTCAAACTGATCCCTCACTTAATCATGACTGAACTAATTCTGGTGATTATGATCTGTCTTAGAATACAGCACCCATGAACATGAAGCAGCATTTTTTTTCATATCCCTCTTTGTTGCCCAGAGCAAGTGGACCCACCTGTGTGGATTAATAACATGTTTGCACGTTGCAGTTATTGGCCTAATGTATTCATCAAACCCATCTGTTCTGTGAAGTAATGAAAACTTTAATGAGGTTTTAATGTGTAGCCACCTTCTCAGCTTTCAAAGTGACAATTCAGGTAATTATGGTTAGAGCCTTGGGGATAGAAAATGACTGAAAAAGGATTTTTTTCCCTCTTTGGTGCTTACTGCTTATACAGTACAACATCGACAATGAAATAAAGCATGGAATATCTTTGTTTCCCAAGCAGGGGGAAATTTTCATCAATTTTTTTTTTTTTTTATGTAATATTGTTTTACCTGCATGAAGAGATTTTAATTTGTGACCTCTTTTTCCTGAAGATGTAAGTGTAAAGCTTCTTTTCTTTTTTTTCAGCTAGGCTGGCATTTTGATCATCGTACTTTAAAAAATGTCTAAAATTCTATAGCAATCTGAACTGGTTAGAAATATTCATATACAAATAAAAGCTTAATTTTGTGTGAGGAAACACGAGAGCTTTTCAAAACCTTTCTGGAGTTAAGATTACCTAAAGATTAGATAATCAAGCTCTCTATAAAATTGTATCTGCCTTGTGTATTAAGCTTGGTCTCAAGAGCTGGAAGTCTGGCTACACCCCCCATATCATTGCCATTTTATGAAATCTAGTGCAGCCCTTACCTCTGCCACTTGTGCTTTTCATTAATAAAATTCACTTTAAATCTGTAATCTTTTTTCAAATTTGTTGTTGATATTTGACATAAAGGGCAGATTATACTTCTGCAACTACACCCATCAGATGTTGATTGGGTTTGGTCGCGAACCAGTTTTGTTGGTATGCTTCTGCAACGTCGGTCTGGAATTTCTAGGGACTCACAGCAGTTTCCCGCCAAAGCGCAAAGGGGAGCCTATTTGGGAATTTGCGAGAACTTCGGCGGATTGTCACGACAACTTCCACGGCGGGGCCGAGTGTTTATTTTCCAAAAGATCATCTGGGGCATCCTACAAGTGGTTGTACTTCCGAACCTTCTCGATCAACCTTTCGCCGTGGTTACCCATTGTTATTACTCCTTGGTTTTTAAAAATGGCGCCCTGGCACAGAATCAAGAAGGGCGACCACACAGACAGCCGGAAAGGCATACTAAGGACCAATCACAGCTGCTTTTTGTCTGCGCACTTCTGCTTGAGGTCTTGCTTGAGGTTTGTGACCGTTCGACGTGTAGTCAGGATTTTTTTGAGAGAGATTTGAGGGTTGCAGACGCTATGAATCAGAAGTATAAATTGGCCTAAAATCTCCAATCCACTTTCCTTCAAAAAATCAATTCCAAAAGAAAAACTGTTGTCTGTCATCCTATTGGAAAAAAAAAATATCTGGTCATAGGAATGTACAATTTATTATTATGAAACTATTCCAATGGTGTAGTTTTGTCTAGATGCATTGTGTTTGCTGCAAAGCTTTGTAGTTTTATACTAGCTTGCAGGTTGTAAAAGTTTAGAAATTGGGTGGCTGTTTTCAAAAAGCCTCCTGTTTACTGTTCAGGAAAGCTGATCCAGGACAGTTACTAATTACTAAACAAGGAAGACTTTCTCCACAAGTGCAGTCTGGGTCAGGAACGTATTAAGGAATAACAAGAGCAAGAGTTCAGACAGTTCCTATTTCCTCTGGGGTTGAAAGACATGTCAGAAAAAGTTGGTTTGCGTTTTAGAGCAGCCCCTCAGTGCAAGACACCCATCCTCTTTTAAATGCTAATTCATTATCTTTAACTGATCAGGTTTAGACTCCCTGCACTTCGGTATGCTGATGTTTCTCTAAAGCCGTTTAGATCAGATAATTATCAGCAGTTCTTTTTTGCTGTTGTTGGTCACCATGATTAGTCCTTTTCAACTGCAGAAACAGCTTTTTTGTCGATTTTACTCTATTACTCTAGATGCAGTGACAGCGAAGCTTAAATGATGGAAGAGAAAGTCATATTTTCCCTCTTTCACTTCATTTTCCTGGAACTGTGTCAGGCCTTTGCAAGTTTTGGAGAAACTCTGCTCAGTGCCTTCATGCATCAGACTTGCTAATCAGATGCTAATGCTCATGAGTGGCAGAGTTGCATGGCAAAGCAGCTACAGAATTGTAATCAGCACTGAGTTCCCCTACAACAAAGCGCCTGATTATGTGCAGGCCCTTTTTCCGACCACTAACCTCGGTTTATTCACATGCCCAGACGCCGCTTCTTTTTTGAAGTGCTCCTTTATGCCAGTGTAATTAGATTACGATAATTTCAGTTGCCTTTATTTTTCACTTGTACTTGTTTCTTTACAATTTTGAAACAAGATTAGGAGTGTGATTAGCCAGAGATATTGATTTTTACCACGGAATTAGCACAAGCATCTGCACACAATATATGGAAAAACAAGCTTTATAGAAAGCAGCAAGAAGCTCTCACGGTCCTTTGATGGTAGAAAATAATTTTTTACATAGATACTCATTAAATTAACATCTTTCCATGCTTTTTTGTATGTATTATGTTAGTTTTTATTGGAGAGCTTGCTGTGAGGCTGCGTCGGTCAACAGATTGCATTATGGCCCTCAGTGGGGCGGTAAAGGGATGACAATTGTTCAGGTGAACTGCTAAGAAAGACTTACCCCTGCTTTGCTTCAAAATGACTCTGCTCTTTAAATCTAATCTCTTTGCTCACGTATCTGCTATAATACCTCTTGTTGTCACTTTTGAATTAGGGATTTTCTTAGTGAAATGTCAGAACCTGTGGTATTGTGCCTCCTTTGCTCTGTCATGCAGCATTTGCTTTGTGTTGTCCCAAACAGACCTTTGATGACATTTCAGTTTTTGCTTGACTGCAAAAGCATGATACACATGGATTTTGTTTGTTCAAAGGACTTAAGTTCTGCATTGAACCTTCTTTTATTTCAGATTATAGAGCTTTTTTTTTTTTTAGAACAATTGATGTATTGCTGACGTTCACAGGGAGGTAATAATGCTCAGGTAACCAACCATTTCAGCAACCATCTGTTCATACATTGCAGCATTCTGCCTCAAGCTGATTAATCATTCAAAGGTGGAATCCAGACCTCTTATGAAGAAATCTCATTTTAGCCATGTCCAGTGCAAGTTAAAGGTTATGACACGAAGATGCTGCCAGAGCCACATCATCCGCAAGCATCTAGACCCTGAGGTTCCCTAACCAGGCACTCTGCTCTCACAGACTGTACCTCTATGAACAACACAAACATTCATCAAGGTCAAAGATCAGCACTGGCAGCTAAACCCACACTGGGAACAAGCTTGACGGAAAGAAACTGGGGGCAGAGCTCTTGATATTTTTATATAGAAAACCAAATTGATGTTGATAGTGTTCCCAGTAACCAATAGTTTGCAACTATTGCACAGCAAAACAATTAAATCTAAGTCTTTTTTTTTCTGAATATAATTGCATTTTTATTGAATTAAGCAAGTAAGTAAGACACTTTGCCAATTGAATTAGATGATTTACATTTATCATAAGATATAAACAACTGCTGTATATGTATTTCAAGTGCAAAATATCTAATTATCATGTTTTAAGGGTAAAAATACTAATTCCACCAGGATATTATCTTATCTACCTACTCAAATTAAGACTAAATACACTTATTTTAGGAAATTGGGACTCATTTTTAGATAGTTTTGCAGTGCACCCTCCACCAAATGCCTCGGAGGACTCCGTCATAAACTTCGGGATCAACAAAATCTTCATATTTACCAAGGTGTTGATACACAGAATTTGTATCGTAATATTAAACTGACCCTAATTCTCTAGCCTTTATCTTCACTCTTTAGTTTAACTTACTTGCTTCTCCAAACTGAGGTGACCATAAAAATTATCTGTAGCTCAAATACTGATGGCCAATAACAAACCTACGGAGATATGCTTTATAGAAAATCTAAAATACCATCTCCAATTATTTTTCTTGCTGAAATATTGTAAATTTGTTTAAGAACAGATTCAAAACCATTAGAAGTTCAAGCTGTGTGATGTGACCCCCCCACACACACACACACACACATTGTCTCAAGTTAAAGACTGAACCTGCTTTTGAACCTCTTTGCTGAAGTAAGGTGTAGGCATCAGTCAAAAGGGAATACATTTTTTTATGTCTGCTCAGCTGCACACCAACAATTTCTCACACACTAAGACTTTTCTGGATTTCCTGGTGATGGATGTCCTTTTCTTTTAAAGCTCTCCTCCAGGCAGAATTGAGGAAATGAGTAATTTTCACTTCGGTCACATTTTGAAAAGCAGCTCTCAACTGCAACTTGTTAATTTACCACTTTCAGAAAGTGCTCCGAAGCATTATTTTTGTTATAAGGGCTTGTATAGGACTTAGAGTCATTAGGGATCTTTAGAGGTAAGAGCTCTTTCCATCCATCTCACTTCACACCCTGTTGGCCTCTCTAACTAACATCTATTGCAGCTTAATGCTACATATGAAACTCAACACGTCTTTTCTTAACTGTGCAAGATTATGTTTTCAAGTATCAGATTTCCATTGTGAGGGTTCTTAATGGTCCGTGGCTGTGAGCTGTTGCAGCAGCACCTGAAAAAGCTTCAAATCTTTTTGGCCTCTTAAGTAATTTAATCCCCGTTTCTCTTCTGCCTCTCCTTTAGGTGTTCCTACATCGTCTTAACCAATACGCGGCCACCAAAATTGACAAAAACATCACAGAGGAAACGGTCAAGGTAAGCAGGCTCGTCTTTGGGTTATGTCACTGTGTGATCAAGAACCTCAAATAACAGTGAAGGTAATTAACCTTTACCCTCAAAAATCCAAATAAGTCCTATTTTTCTTTGTAACCTGATCTGTTAAAAGTCTGGAAATGACATGGAAAGCTAAATCAGTGCTCGTAAGGGGTGTTTTTTTTATTTTTTTTTACTGAAATAGCCAGGGCCTGAATGGAGAAAGACGTAGGCGATGCAGGAAACAGCTGCAAATATCTAATCTATTTATAAATGATTCTGGCTGGAACATAATAAAGGATGCTCCGTGGCAGTGGGAGCCTCTCTGTGAGTTTGCTTACTTTTTGAGGTAAACACGCATTCAGAGGATATTTACTGCACGTCCGTGTTTTGGAATATATCCTCGTGTTTTAGGTTTTGTTTGGGAACATGCTGTGCAAAGAGGGATTTTTTTTAGATAGCAGGGAGGTTATTATGGCTGCAGTGTCACAAGGGGACTAAATGACATCCAGTCCTCCAAAGTTAAAGCTCAACGATCAAAGTCTTTCAGATTCAACCTTTCTATTTGCATGGCATCTATAGCATTTATTTTTAACCCCTTAACAAACATAAGATTGCTGATTTTCATAGCTTTACACTATTAAAACATTCTCTAACACCAGGGGGTACTGAAATCACCAGTGTGACACCAGAGACCACACTGTAAAGCATGCATTTCAAAAGTATTGTTAAATTTAATTCATTGGTAAATAGAGGATAAAGCTGTGTAGAAGGTTGGAGCAGAGTTAGGTTGTAACATAAAATCCCAGAGTAACTCTAAGAGAGCCACAGAGGTCCATAGCTTAGGTGGTTAAACCATTTTAGGGGACAGTTATTACCTCTACCCTAAAGAAACCTGCCGTTTTGGATTTCGCTGCAAGAGGAGAGGCATTGTTAAAAGGAAAATAGGTCTCATTTGCAATTTGCTGCGAGGTATGTAAGAGATAAGGCCAGGTGAGACCAAATGAATGTTTTTGACAAAATGCCAAGTGAAATGTGTGGGGGGGGGGAAAAATCTTAGCATCCTAAAAGGGCTGGTTATGCTCCCACAGCAGTGTGTCGCAGTGAGCATGTCGCAGGTATGACGCAGACATTTTTGATCTATGCTCAATATTGAAGCTTGGTCTTTGTGTTTATTCCATGCCACAACACAAAAGGGTACAATCACGAACTAGCAGTGGGTCTAGATACGGCCAAGGCGGTGAGGAAATGGGGCAAGTTTGTCTGACAATGGCGGGACATGAGGGCGAAAAAGAGCGGGAGTCCAGGTGGAAAAAGGGTCCAAGCATTCTCACGCACCTCGCTCTTCTAGCTGGTCCAACTTCACGAGTCGTTTTCCGCAATGGCAGTCATTCAAACAAAACAAGCCAGTAAGGTACAAAACAGGAGATGCGGATAGTGTACAGCAGAGGTCTGCAACCACTAGGGGGTAAATGGAGGTACTGCATGGGGGTCACAAAAGTTTTGATTGTTTGATTAGACTTTTTTTTTATATTCCCCCTGCCATTTTTTTTTCCAATAATTGAAATGTCTTTAAATCCACATTAACATGAATTCAACACACTGTAGTAAACGGATAAAAGGAGTCATCAATGCTCACATTCAGTGACACACAGGAGCTCTTTCAAGCTGGGCACCATTTCATTCACAACACCTGTCCTATCAACCAGGAATCAGAATCAGAAATACTTTAATAATCCCAGGGAGAAATTACTTTTATTACATTACTCTATGTGTAATAGAGTGACTATAGGACCAGTTTGATATAACACAATTTCATACAATATATATAATTAGGCGGTCCCCGCTCCATCTTGCCATCAGTTTGGGGGTCCTTGGCATGGAAAAAGTTGAAGACCCCTGGTGTAGAGCAAGGAGGCCTCCTGTCTGCGGTCACCTACAATTTGGGAGAGGTGCAGCAAAGTGCCTGCGGATGGGGTGGCGACGTCTCTACGTTTACCGTAACATCTACTTAGACCACCTACTTTCGAAGTATAAATCAGCCTTTAGCCACACTGCAGGCATCAATGTTAATTCTTTTCCATGTCGTTCACATTTCCAAATACATGCGACTTGTATGTAGGGGTATGGGGAAAAAATAGATTTTTAAAAATGATAAATTATCTAAACCAATGAGGGGAAAATGGGCTTCCTCTTGACCGCCACTCTGGCAGATAGCGCATGAAGCTGTGCGGCGCAGCACCATTTCTGTAGATGAGGCAGTCAGAGTGGAAGACATGGACTGACTCTAACCCCAAACAAAATGGATTCTAAAAAAACATACAGCACATGCTTTTTTTAAATCTAGATAGTAAAATAGTGATCTTGCATTATCGTGATAATATCTTATTGTGACCCAAGAATCGTTACATATATCGTATCACAGCACACATGCCAATACTCACCCCTATTTGTATGTCACCCAACTTAAGTGTCCCGCATACGAGGAAGAGGAAACAATGATGTCACAAGCGAGCGTGCTCTGTGTTTATGAAGATGGTATTGCTGGAGAGCATCTTGCAATCTTTAATTTCTTGCCCAACATCAGCCAGTGCATTAGCAAAACAATGTTTTTAAGAGGGTTGAAAATAAAGACTGCTCTCCGCATTATCGTCTTCCATTGTTGTTGCTTTTCTTCCCACTTCTGCATAAAGAGACGATCTGTGTTGTACAGACTGTAATAAAAAGATCAGATACAGGTCACATGTGAGCAAAAAAATCGGCTGCTGCATGAATTTAGCCTTAGACATTCACAACCCACCAGCGATACATGGTTGTGGTAGCATCATTCTGGGGGTGGGGTGCGTTTACAAAGCAGGAAATGGGCCGCTGGTTAAGATAAACGCAAAGATGAACAAAGACGAAGATTCTGAAATGGGAGCCTGAAACTACAATAGAGATCGAAATACCATGTTCATAAATATGTACCACACACAACTCTGTTTGTTTAAACATCTTTATCTTATCCACAACTCTGTGTTGCATTAAAATCCTTATAAGGTACGATAAAATTTATTTTTAAACTTGAACAGATGTGGAATGGATAAAGTAAGACTGAAACTGATAGGAAACACAATGCTATTAAACCATCTTGTTTAAAACCCTTCGCTTTTGGTTATATAGGTTTTATTCTCCAACATTGAGGAGATTCTGGCTGTCCATAAGGACTTCCTTTCCATGGTGGAGGAGCTGCTGCAGCCCGACCCTCACCCTCACCATGAAATCGGCCGCTGCTTCCTGCGTTTTGTAAGTAGCTTTCTGCTCTATCTGCTAAAGCATTCTTCACTGTGGTCTTAAAATTTTTTCAAAGCACTGTAAGGTCTCCCAGCATCAACTGTAAACGAAATGATACTCCACATGTCATCAATGAATCTCTGTGGATTACTTGTAATGAAACGGGGCACTTGTATGATATTCTTGATGTGGCTCTGATATACTGATCAGAGACCCCATATATCACATTACTTTGATGCAGGTCCATGAGGCATACTGGCCTGTTATAGGTTTTAAAGTGCAATAAATCTGACCGTCCTTCTGTTGGACCTCTGGACCCGCCGCTGCTCTCCGCTGTTAGAGATGGGTGAAAAAGAAAGATGATCTAACAGCAGTACAGATGGCAGGAGGTTTATTATGAGATAATTTGATTTAGGGGTAAGGCCACACTTCAAAGCTACAAACTAAAAAACTTATGACCATATATCAGTCATAAGTCATCCTGTGAGTACACAGAGAGGACGCCTTTTCTATCCAAACTTTCCCCTCACTGAAATCTGGTGTTCATGCAAAAAGATGAAAAATAATCAGTTTAATTGAGGAAAATAGCCATCTTCTTTGTTTTGCACCACTTGTTTGAACTAATTTTCACTACATGAGTTTATAACCGGTTTTCTAGTAAAAAAAACTGCGACTGTGATTGTTAATCTGAGCATCTCTACCTCCGTCTTCATCACTTTGGCCCAGCGGCTCGCCTGCAGACTGCAGGATGTTTTGTGGGTCCGCTGTGACTTTGTAGTGACTGATTTAGAGTCTGCGTGATCTGGTCTTTCAAAGACAATGGAGCATGGGATGTCATATGAATCGCTTTGGTGGATAGTTGCTGGTCATATGGCTGCAAGACGGATGACAGGATATGATGGAGGACACAACCCCGCTGCCCCTTCATCCTTCAAATGCTTGCAGAGGCTCTCACCACAGAATGCATTATGTCTTTCCAGATAAATGAGAAGAATTTTCTGATGTATATGTCAGCTCAGATTTTTTATTCCCTCTATTTTTGTGTTTATTATATTTCGTACCAGAAATGAATAACCAAATGTCTTAAGTTCAGCTGACCTTGCAAAATCCTTGTTCTGTAATTAAAAAGGTGGATTAACAAAACACTTGATAGAGAATTTCTTTAAGGTTTAACTAAAATTAGAGTGTTACTTTTAGTTTGAGGTTTTCATTCAGAAATTATACAAAGATCTTTAACTGAGTTAAAGCTGCATAATTCTAGCCTATTGTATCGCTGTTGTATTCAGTTTATTTGAATAATTTAATTTACCGTTACAACACAGTTCTTAGTTTTTCTAATTTATTCCTAAAGATTAATTCCACTGCAACCCCCAACTGTGTTCAAGGTTCAACCGGTAAACTGATTTTTGTATTGGGTAAAGTGGAAATTGTTGGAAGTTTGTGAGGGATCAAGGTAAGAAGCATGAGGAGTCGCAGGAATTTATACAAAAAATAGTTTTTTTTTTATTTTTAACCCAAAAAAGAAACGTAAAACAAATACATGGGTTCAAGTCATAAAAGATGCCAACCAAAAACAGAACATTTTACTCAAGCAAACTGTGCCCAAACTATCTGGCTGCATAAACAAACATAACTGACCTAACAAAAAAAATGACACACAAGGGTATATATACACTGGCTAATCAGACCATTAACACAATAGGGGTAATTCAAACTAAAAAAAAGCAACAACAAATTACAAACATCAGCAGTACAGTTAGGTTTGGCAAAAATTAATCTATATCTTTGAAAAATGAAAACACACCAACCACAAAACAAATCATAAGTGAAAAATTAGAAAAGGAAAATTCAAATTCCCCCCTTTTAGTAGCAGCAGATGGAACAGTCCAATTTCCCCTCCTGCATTTAGCAGATCTGAGCCCTGGCTGCCATCTTTTGTCTGGCCAAACTCCTAGGCACCATAGAAAGTAAGAAACAGATTAGTGACAAAACAGAAAGAAAGATGAATGAATGCAAGCAAATACAGTGAACTAAATGTGCGCGCTTACAAACAGAACACACGCATTTGAACTAAGAATACAATTTTATTCCAAACTAAAGTATGTGTATGGATTAAATTAGTAAAGGTGCATGTATAGTGCAGTCTTAAGGTTTTGCCAAAAGGTCATCTATAATTATTCCTGAAAATCTTTAAAACAAACTTGTCCAAACATTCCCTCTTTTTACCATGGCTCAGCCTTGTCTTTCTTTGGCTCCTTAAGCAATTTGTCTCATTTCGGTAAGAACAGAAACATTGCTGATCAAGCCAATAGACCCATATATTAGCTGGTAGATACTTTTGGCTGATATTTGTGTTTTTTTTCTTGCATAGGACTAGGCCAATATTTGCACTTGTTTGCGGATTCATTGGTGAATTCAGCAGCAAAGATACTTGGCCAGAAGCTAAGTTGCTAAGTTGCTCCTAGAAAGTTCTTTGATCACACCTGCAAAAGAAAATATAACAGCAACACAAAGACATGGGATGCATTTTTCTAATCAATCAAGAAGAGGGACAGAGCAAAATGCTTCATGTAAATAATGTGTTACTCGAAAACAAGAGGGAAATCATTTTCAAATTGCCCAACTGCTCTTGGACAAGTGTTGAGAGAAAACTTCTGCTCATAAAAGCAAAATGACGTCATTATGTGGCAAGAAAAAAACGTCTCTCTTCTCGTGGAGTATGTAACAAGCTTTGAGAATATAGATACTCGTCATGCTTGTGTTCTGCTGTATCTCTTGATGTGGAGGAGAAGAAACTTTACTAAGAGCCTCCCTTGGATAACAGAGCTCCTCACCCTATCTGTAAGGTAGAGCCCAGGGACCCTGTGAAGGAAGCTTATTTCAGCCACTTGTATCCAGGATCTCGTTCTTTTGGTTACGATCCAGATTTCATGACCATAGATGAGAGTAGGAACGTAGACCAAATGGTAAATTGAGAGCTTTGCCTTTTTGCTCAGCTCTCTCTTCACCACCTCAGACCAGCTTCTCCATTATAGCAGCAGCCGCACTGTTCCAGCTATCGATCCCCTGCTCCATACTTCCTTATTGTGAAAAGGAACCCAAGACACTTGAGCTCCTCCACTTAAGGCAGGGACTTTCCTCCAGCTGAAGGGGACAAGCCACCTTTTGCAGATCAAAAACTTATATTTTCATAGCGTTTTTGTAGTTTGGCTTTTCTTTTCACTTATCAATGTTTTTTAGCGGCTAACTTCTTGTAAGGCACGTTTTTAGAGATTGTTATTGTAAACTTAATCAGAGAATAAAGGGTGGATTATACTTCTGCAACTGCACACATCAAATGTATTTTGGGTCTAGTTGTGAACCAGATTTGCTGGTATGCTTCTGCACCATCGGTCTTGAACTTCTACGGACGCACAGCAGTTTCCCACCAAAGCGCAAGGGGGAGCCTATTTGAGAACCTGCGAGAACTTCGGCTGATGGTCACGAGAACTTTGTTTTGGTAGAGATCTTGGCATCTTTATATAATTTGTCTGAGGCATCGTACAAGTGGTTGTACTTCCGAACCTCCTCGATTAACCTTTCGTCATAGTTGTCCATTGTAGTTGTTCCTCGGTTTTTAAAAATTGGGCTCCCCGACACCGAATCGAGAAGGACGACCACACAGACAGCCGGAAAGGCATACCAGGGACCGATCACAGCTGCTTTTTTGTCTGCGCAATGAGGATTTTTTTGAAGTACGTTACGACTGTTGCAGAACCTCTGCGCGGGGAGCACGGTCGCACAGAGGTTGCAGAGGCTATGCGTCAGAAGCATAATTTTGCCTTAACTCAACCCTTCCCAAGGTGAGGTGATTGGGTAAAGAATCTCTTGAATTGACAGGATGGGTGAATGTTTTAAAAAAGTATCCCACAACACTGAGGTGCTTCAATTTTCTATTTATGTCCTGATTTCTTTTCATTTTAAGCTGCTTTGTTTTGCTTCGGCTCATTTTTCCTCTTTCTGTCTCCCCCAGAGGAGTCGTTTCCAGGTTTACGATGAATACTGCGGAAATCACGAGAAGGCCCAGAGGCTGCTGTTGGAGCTCAATAAGACCAGGAGCATCAGGACATGCTTACTGGTGAGAAGCATATGCATCAGCGCTTGAGTTGCTACATGGATTTTTATGCGAACTCTGACCAGAAAACACACGCGCACACACACACACACACGTGCGTGCTTGGTCAGTATCAAAGCCTGCTTGAGACAACTCTACCCCATGTGTGGGCGGACTTCTGTTTCCTGTCCTGCTGTTCCAGGGAAACTTTCACTTCCACATGGGAGTATCATGTTGCTAGAACAAAAGATGAATACATCCTTATTTCTAGCTCCCAGAATATACTCACACTTACTAGCTGCTAAGCTGGACAGCTTTTTACTCCCAACTTTTTAAAAGCACTGTCAGACTTGATTCTTCATGTTTGGCGTCTGGAATGCATCCACTCCTCCCGAGATAGGAACCTGTAACCTTTTCATTAGTTTGTATTTGATAGACTGAGGATATCAGACTGTAAATGCACACGTTGTACATGTCATAAAAGAACAGTGCCACCAAATCCCTGTTTGATTGTTTCCTTACTCAGAGGGGCTAGAAGAAGAGAGGTATTAATTGACATTGATGTAAAGCTCTGACCTTTTGGTGACCAAGCTTTCCATCTTTGTCATTACGCTCTCTTGTTACTTTCCAAGCTGCACACAAAAACACGTGTTACTTTACCTCAGCTCACCTACTGGGAGCTGTTGTGCTCAGTGGGAGGATGTCCATTAACCTCCAGTGAACCTTTGACCTGCTGCCTGCTGTAAAGTTCAGTTTAGCTCTGTAAATCAGGAGCGTGTCAGCTACACTTTGGGTTGGATCCATCCTTATATACATCCATCCATGATCTATCCATCCATCCATCCATCCATCCATGATCCATCCACCCATCCATCCATCATCCATCCGTCCATGATCCATCCATCCATCATCCGTCCATCATCCATCCATCCATCCATCCATCCATCCATCCATCCATCCATCCATCCATCCATCCATCCATCCATCCATCCATCCATCCATCTATCCATCCACCCATCCATCCATGATCCATCCATGATCTATCCATCCATGATCCATCCGTCCATCATCCATCCATCCATCCATCCATCCATCCATGATCCATCCGTCCATCCATCCATGATCAGTAAAAGATTTCAGGGAATTTCAGTCTGATCTAGTTTATTTAGTGGTAATGTACTATGAATAATTCCAGTTTATTTAATAAAAGTGTAAATGTGCAGTTGATCAATTTATCTCTCCATCTCTTTTTCCTCACCATGAAGCAGCTGTCATTACAAAATCCTTTTAAACAGCACTAATTAAATTCATTAATTTGCACCGTTTTTCTTAGAACATGAATTTGTATTTATATTTCTGATGAATAAAACAACTTATTCAAAATATGTCAAAGAAATTGAGGTACAGCTTGCACATGCTGGAAAAAATCTTTTAGTGATTAGAGGCTTGAGATTTTGACAGATGGGAGCAAGAACAAAGCTGTATTTTAGGGGTTGCTATCGACCATTTAAACCTCAGAGACCTAGCTAATTTTTAACCTGCTCTCCTCCATCTCTGCTGCAGAATTGCATGTTGCTGGGAGGCAGGAAAAACACTGAGGTCCCACTTGAAGGTTACTTGGTAGCTCCGATTCAGAGGATCTGCAAGTACCCGCTGCTGCTGAAAGTGAGTATGGCCCTGATGTTTTGCAGACATATTTCTGAGGCCCAATGGCACGGCTGCAGTGCTATAACCACCACTGCCCATCCAGGAATACTGACTGGACTCCCTCACAACTGCACATCCAGTTTTTAGCTTTAATTTCTTTCTCTTTTTTCTGTTAAGTGTGAGTGAAATGCAATATGTTTTCAAAGCCTGTGTTTCTGAGCTGGTGATCTGAGCTGTCTGCTTTCATTCATCATGTTGAGATCTATTAATTCACTCAGCATTCCCTAAACAGCCACCAGCATATGCAGAGATATGCTATAATAATAAGGGGAGTAATCTGATGCTTAGCCAGTTGAAGGTTTCCAGCTGCCGAGGGGGGCACCGCTTCTCTGTGAAGTGACACAGATAGCCATCAGTGGCTGCTGAGATATCCAGAAGAGTGTAAATCTGCCCTGTGGTAGCTGACATGCTGAAACACTGTTTAGACTATGAGATTCCCATCGCTGTTGGTAGACCGTTGCAGGCGGTGGCGCTGATCTGAAAAGCTATTGAAGGGAGAAAAGTGAAGCAGAGAGGAAAATGTCCTACATTTTTCTTTCAGGTTTTTTTCATGCCTCATCTAAGCTGGAAGATTTACCGGCCGACTTGTGTGTTTTAAAGGCAGAGGAGGGTGTGATCATTTTCTGTGTACACGTGTTATTTTTACCTTCAAAGGAGCTGCTGAAGAGGACCCCTAAGAAGCACAACGACCACGCGTTGGTGCAGGAGTCCCTTCAGGTGATGAAGGCAGTGTGCTCCAACATCAATGAAGCCAAGAGGCAGATGGAAAAGTTGGAAATCTTAGAAGAATGGCAGTCCCATATTGAGGGCTGGGAGGTGGGTCTCAATCAAATGCTTAATCTTTATATGACCTTTTTGTGTCACTATTGTGTTAACTTATAACTTATTTATGAATGTTAGTACTTTGTACTTAAAAATAACCTTACTCTTCCAAACCGGTTTTATTCAAGGACTCCCCTGTATGTATGTCCAATTGGTCTTCGCATCAGCTCTGACCAGCTTCCCCACATCATGTTGATGAAGATTCTCAGTCATCCAGGTCATAGTCATTCCGTAAAAGTAAAAAAAAAATCCACTGGACTTGGTTTCCAAGATTTAAAGACGTTTCGCCACCTCTCCAGGAAGCTTTCTCAATTCAAATGTCTGGATCGGCAGTGAGTTTGAGTCTTATATAGACAAAGCAGTGTATTGCTTGGAAACATGCAAATGGTAACCGATCCCCACATCATGATACTGCCACTACAATGTTTTTTTAGCCTTCTAGTGTGGGAGTGTTGGCCTAGTGTGCAGAGTAGTCCGCTTGTGCTTTGAGACGGTTCCAAGTACCTGGTTTGATCCCCACAACCTGAACAAAAGCCTTTACCCCACACAGCTCCCCGGGAGCCACACAATGGCAGCCCACTGCTTCCAAAGGGGATGGGTTAGATGCAGAGAGTGAATTTCTCTTTTGCGGCACAGTAAAGTGAATTACATTTACAAAGCTTTATAGTGTCTCTATTTTCAAACTTGATGACTTCAGTAGAGAGCTGGTTGCACTATATTGTATTTATAGGCGCCAGAGTCAAGGGGCCTTAATCTGTTGGATTATTTGATGAAATCCCCATTTCTGTAGATTATATATTTGGGTCTACAGCTTTTCTTAGTAAACAACTATATGTGTTAAGGAAAAACAGTTAAACAGGCCCAGTTAGGGTTTATAAAAGCAGATGAGATATGTATGAGTTAATAAATAAAAGTAATTGTTTTAAACAATGCAGAAGCAGAAACAGATGTGGAGTTTTGTCCTCTTAGGTCAATTATCTATATATATATATATATATATATATATATATATATATATATATATATATATATATATATATATATATATATATATATATATATATATATATATATATATATATATATATAAAAAAGAAGAATAAAGCCAAAGAAATTGCTTCTAAATGAAAATACAATAAAGATCCAGTGCAGACACAAATATACTAGGCTAGGTGAATACTACATCTAAGAATAGTGCAGTCGGTGTTGGGTGGGGTGACATCTTGTTCTCTGTGCAGTCCTGGCTGCTGCTTCTCTGCGGTTTCTCCCCGGCACTTTTATTAATTACAAACATTAGCTCATTCTGGACCTGGCCCGTCTCAACAGCTGCATCTCAGGCTCACCAGACTCTGTCGGTCCTTTGAATAATATGGAATTTAACCCTGAAAAAAAGAAACAGAAAATCAAAAGAAGATTAAGCGCTGGTTTGCATTTTGCCTTCCTGTGTTGGAGGTTTGAGGTATGGCGAGATGGATGAGATTTGATAATGAAAAATTTTTCATCCCCGTTTCCCCTGTCTGGGGTGATTGCTCATTAGCGCTGAGCTGCTCCACTGCTGGCCTGCCTCGGAGGCCTTCTGGCAGGTTTGCATACATTGCGTGGGAGAGACAGGGCGATGGCTCTCTGTGGTCACAACTCTGATGACTGCCAGCGTTTTGCAGGACGGTGATTGCTGGTTGGTCAGCGCTGGAAGTGTCTGTGTTTTGTCAAAGTTGGACCATAGTAATGTGGCAATTTTAGACCTAGGTGTTATAGTTTCCATTAGGTTCTCAACTAGAGTTCTGCTTTTTCTTTGGTTAATCTTCACTAAGGCTATTTGAAATTATCCTCACCTCATCCTTTCCCTTCATTAATTGGTTTTCTACTGTGGCCTTTAAAACATATGTGTCCAGTCGTTTAACTCTAGAAACAATGACGCATTCAAATTTATATCCCTAACAGTTTTTTTTAATGATTCCTTTCAAAACTAATGTGTCCCAAGACATTTTCTGTCAATATAGATGACTTCAATATAGAACTGAAATCAAAATTAGTCAATTTCTCTTAAAATAAGTGAATTTGGCAGGTGAGTGAGACATTTTGCCAATGGAATAACCCAATTTACATTCAATGTAAGATCAAAGCAAAAATTTCCTCTTTCAGGTGCATAATATCTAATTACCTTATTTTTAGGGTAAACATACTCATTGCATTGGCAGATCATCTTATTTTCAGTACCTGCTCAAGCTATGGGTAAATACACTTATTTTAAGAAATGTCTATTCATTTTTAGACCATTTTTCCAGTGTATAGCCATCAGCTGAAGCATCATAAAATCTATAACTGAAACATTTCTTAATGTTGCAGGCAAATAAGATAATTTGCCCATTGAATGAGTACTTTTGCACTTACATAACGCTTAGATATTATGCATTAAAATTAGGAAATTAAGTTTTTTTTTTTTTATTTTAAACATAAAGCATAATTTAATTGGTCAAGTTTATTTAAAGATAAACTGACTTACTTATATTTCATATTTTCGCACTGCATACATATATAACATAAATCATTTTAATACACACCGACACAGTATATAATATATTATTTACAATGGCTCAGCTTAAATTTAAAACCTCAGATGTGTTGCTGAACTAGTTGTTGATTGATGCCTGTGCTACTGGCGTTACCTTTATCTTATAACTTTTGCGATTTCTTCACCAAAGAGTTCAGTAAGGGTGATTCCCTACAGCAACAATAATGTTGGACTTGTACAGCAGTGTGTGGACAGTTAGTAGCTATTTACGCCCCCCTCCATCCATCAACTGCTGTTACAAACTGGTAGGTTTTCTTTTATATAGATGCCACACTGCATATCTTGCACTGCCACCTTGAAGGCAATGTCAGGCCAGGTTCCTGGCCAATCATGTGTAGTGATACCCACTCTGGTCATTATAAGAGGTAACACTACATTGCTACTGTGAAATGAAATCAGTAAAACCAGAGGGAAGCATGAAGAGCTCTAAAATGTCCTGGCAGAGCGGGAAACTGACTTTAACACCAAGCAGAAGACATTGCTCTTCCAATCAGCACAGACTGTTGAACCTGCAGAGTGGATATCAAGCAACTTGGATTCTGTGGTGCCACGTCATACACACCCTGCTTTGTTTAAAAGAATATATAAATATAAAAAATATAACCACGGAAGTCTGGGGGACAGTGATTCGCCTACATGTTATGAATGCTGGCGTACCATAAAGAATAAATTATGAGCAGTTTAGTTTGTGCCTTCAAGTAGTTTGCCCATAGGGAGACGTTACCTGGATATAACCTAACCAAATATCTTCAGATCAGCTCCAAATGACACAAAAGTCATATGGGTGAGTAGAACATGATGTAATAACGTAAAATCAAGGGCTCAATGTAAAAAAAAAAATTAAAAAAATGGCGTTCACCTTTTAAGGCACACTATGCAACATTTTTTAGTTAATTAAAGCTGCAGTCTGTAACATTAGCTACGTTTACATGCGCAAAATTTCCCCGATCCGATCCAAACCTTGGTTGATCGGAAATTCAAAATTTCCGTTTACATGGACACTAAATGAAATGATCCGATTATGACGTGTGTATACATGTACCAAGCGTTGGATCAGAATAAATCTTTTAAGCATGCGCAGAACTTCCTGCCAAACTTGGCAGTTCTGTCTGGGTCTGGTTTTTGGGAGGCCTGACAAACGATGCGCTCGGAGCGAGCGGAAAGAAAAAAGGAGAGAGGAGGAAAAAAGCGCTTGGCAGCGAAATGTCCGAGAGAAAATGTAGAGAATGAGCGATTAAACCGGCGTGGGAGAGCGAGTGGGCTGTGGAGAGAGAAAAGAGGAAGAGGAGGAGGATAAATTCCTGCTTCCTGCAGCTTTAAATGAACTTGAGTGTATAAGTCGGCGTTCCTAGACTCCTCCCGCCATGTTGTTCACAGCGAGAGCGAGAGCGACCGGTGGTTTCCTGTTGTTGACAAGGCGGAAAAACGTCACGCTGACGTTGCACACATGCGCAGTGAAGATTATTTTACTCTTTAGATCCGAATGGGTGTTTACATGGACGCCAATCAGAATGGCAATCGGCAAAAACCACCTCTTTCTTTCGGAATTAAATTTATTTCCGATCGGACCGAATCGGATTAGAATCTTCAGTCTGACATGTTTACATGAAACATTTTTGATCTGATCAGGCCTTCAATCTGATTATTTGTGTTCATGTAAACGTAGCTATTGAGAAGAGAGCAGACTTCGACTGAAAATTTGAAGAAAAATGGGTTTCACGTCACTCCCCCACCCTCTCTGCTTCACTCATGCCCCACCTCCAAGCTCCACCCCTCTCACAGCATCTGCGCAGCTACCACATGCGACCAGAAGCGTCCAAGCAGCGTACGCGGCAGCTCTTCCATTGACATCTTCTTTTTTGAAGTCTTTGCCGTGTAAGCAGTTGTTGGCAGGGGCAGTAAGGGCAGTTTCTCTTTCGCTGGTGGCTGTCGCTCCACCATGACTTCCACGCGCGTCCTCCTGACTGCAGCAGCCAGGCGGCAGCGGCAGGTTCAGCGGTGAGAGGGAGGGGGCGGGATTCAGCGTGTGTGAGCTGTGATTGACACTCCATCAGACGCTCCTCTGGCTGTGATTGGTTGTTTTGTCTCGTCCCAAAATATTCTTTCCAGATTGCAATACAGGCAGTAGGCGGGACCAATTGAAGCAGTTTTTTTCACAGGTTTTTTTCACAAAAAGTGATTTTTAAAAACTTACAGACTTCAGCTTTAATGTGTTCCATAACGTTTTGGATGATTAAATGAGTCATTTCAGGTTGAACAAAGGTATTCTCGGCCGCCCTGGTGGTCTGTGGGGGAAATACCGCACTTGCAATTGCAGGAGCCCTCGGCCCGCACCCACAGGCTCAGAAGTCTCGCGAGAGTCGGTCTTGCTTTACGGCGAGAACTGCTACACGCCCCCAGTTAAAAGTATGCTCGTTGCTAG